GCAAGCCAGCAGAGCGAGTGGTGGTCCGTGACTACGCGGAACAGGCTTCCGAATAAGTACGGACGAAACTTCGTGATTGCCCAGACGACCGCAAGGCATTCTTTCTCAGTCGTGGAGTAATTTCTCTCCACCTTGGATAATGTCCGACTTGCGTAGGCGATGACTCGCTCGGTGCTTTCTTGTAATTGAACCAGTACCGCGCCAAGTCCTGCGTTACTTGCGTCCGTGTGAATCTCGGTTACCGCATCCTGGTTGAAATGTCCAAGAACAGGAGGAGTCTGCAGTCGTCGCTTCAGCTCGTCGAATGCCTGCTGCTGCTCCTCTGCCCCTTCGAACTTCTCGGCGCCCTTCGTGAGGTTTGTGAGCGGTGCGGAAATCCTTGCGAAATCTCGAACGACGCGCAGATAGTAAGCACATAGTCCAAGGAACCTCCGTACGGCCTTCTTGTCTCTTGGCGCTGGAAATGCTGTGACGGCGCGAGTCTTCTCTGGGTCTGGGCGAATGCCTTCGTTACTAACCACGTGACCTAGGAACTTCAGTTCGTCATAGGCGAACCGACACTTTGACGGTTTGAGGGTGAGTCCGGTGGTGCGTATGGCATGGAGAACAGCTCGGAGTCGTCGCAAGTGCTCGTCGAAGTCGCCGGAAAACACTACGACGTCGTCGAGGTAGACCAGACACGTCTGCCAGTTCAGTCCTGCCAGTACGGTGTCCATGACACGCTGGAAAGTGGCTGGCGCCGTGCATAGTCCGAAGGGAATCACCTTAAACTCGTAGAGCCCATCCGGTGTGACGAAGGCTGTCTTATTTCGGTCCCGTTCATCGACTTCGATCTGCCAGTAGCCGCTCTTCAGGCCCATCGATGAAAAGTATCGAGAATGGCGCAGCCGGTCTAACGTGTCGTCGATGCGGGGGAGTGGATAGACGTCTTTCTTCGTCACTGCGTTCAGCTGCCGGTAGACCACGCAGAACCTAAGCGTCCCGTCTTTCTTCTTAACCGGTACGACTGAAGAGGCCCATGGTCTGCTTGAAAGCTGAATTATGTCGTCGTTCAGCATCTTTTGAACTTGCTCCTGCATCACCTGCCTTTCTTTAATGGAGACTATGTATGGAGATCGATGCGCAGGGCGCGCGTCGTTCTCGGTAACGATGCGTTGCTTCGCAACGGCGGTTTGGCGCACCTTTGACGACGTCGCAAAGCAGTCGTGGTATTCGGCAAGGAGTTTAATCAGCTGACGTCATTTCGGTCCCGAAAGCTTAGGGTCAATGTCGAGCTCCGCTGGCGACGTACTGTCTTGCTGAGGTGGCGAGGATTCGTCAGTAGCCGCGGCGATTTTGCGGAGTTTCGGAGTTCCTCGACGTGGCCGACGGCTGCACTCTTTGTGAGGTGTTGCGCTTCGTTTCGGAAGTTCGTCATGAGGACTACAGTTCGGCCATCCTGAAGTTCAGCTAACCCTCTTGCGACGCCTATTCGTCTTCCTAAGATAGACTGGAGGCTCCCCTCGAGCAGAACTTCGCCGCACAAAGCTTCGGTGATCCCGACAGGCACGGAAACACTGGACCGCGGCGGTAAGTTCACGTGACTTGCGAGGACTCAGACCGCGGGTGACGTCGCTTTGGGTTCCTCCTGTGGTGAAATAGGTTTTCGTAGAGTTAGCCGGTTTGCTCCGAGGTCGATGACGACGCCATAATCGCAGAGAAAGTCCATTAGTCTATTCCAAGAATAGCGTCCCTCGAACAGTCTTGCAGAACGACGAACATGACAGGCACGTCTCACCATGGATCTAGACGCGAGCAGTGCATCTCCCGACTGGTGTGATGAGATGTCCTCCGGCGGTTCGTATTTCGGGGCCTCCCCACGGCATCATGACTTTTCGCAGGCGGCGAGAGAGCCTCCCACTCACGACTGAGTGGTCTGGTCCGGTGTCCACAAGTGCCGATGCGTCGTGGCCGTCGATGACAACGTTTAGGTTGTTGGACACTGTTGCAGGCGTGTCGTTGTGATGCATACCGTCGGGAGAGTGGAAGCGCTCCGTCGTTCTTGGAAGCTCTTTACTTCGGTCGTCTTCGGCAACGCCACCTCCAGGCGTTGCCGCACTCAGTTTTCCCGGTGACGCAGGGGAGACAGGCTCTGGAGGCTCATGTCGGGGTGGCGCCGTATACTGGTGAGCTCGGGGCGGTGGTCGTCGGGTAGCTGCGGCGTAACTCAGCGTCGGCGGTTCGGGAGTGGCGCCGACGAGAATTTCTGGCTGCAGCGCCTCATGAACTTCTTCCCGGACAATCTCGGCGATTGAGAACGAAGCTGGGCTTGCGGCGGCAGGTAGAAGCTTCTGAATTTCCTCCCGCAGGACATCCCGGATGATCTCGCGGAGATCCGGGCTGTTGCAGCTAGAAGGCGAGAGTGCAGCGACGCCTGGAAGTCACTGGTAGTGGGAGGTCCGTGATTGAAGGGCACGTTCGATGTTCGTCGCCTCGGTGACGAAACCTTCGACTGTTGTCGGAGGGCTGCGGATAAGACCGCCGAAGGTGTTTTTCCTCACGCATTGCACGAGGACGCGCAGTATTTTCTCCTCGGTGGCTTGAGGGTCTGCACGGGTACTCAGCCGCAGAACATCTTCCACAAAGCTCGTGACGCTTTCGTTGGGTGCTTGAAACCTCGACTGGAGAAGATCTTTGGCCCGCTGCCTACGATGTTGATTCATGAATGTCCGCTTAGCTCTGTGACGTAGGTGTCCCACGACGTCAGCGAATCCTCATGGTTCTCGAACCAGTTTCTTGCAGTTTTCTTTAAGGAAAAGTAGAGATTTTGGAAGCGCTGTTCCGTCGTCCAACCGTTATGACGAGCTATGCGTTCATAATGTTGAAGCCAGTCCTCCCCATCCTCATGGGCCTCACCATGGAATGGCGTCGAATTGCGTGGGGCGACAGGCATGAAGACGACGGATGGAGCGGTCGAGGTCTGCAGCGACTGGTTGTTCACCGTCGGCCTATTTGACTGCTTGGTCCTGGGTGACAAAAGTCCGAATTCAGGGTGTAGGCCTTGAATACGGCTGCTTAATCGGGTCTCGGTAGTGCCTGGGTCGGGTCGTCGTGGGCTTGTTGTCGGACTTGCACTGCGGGCCCTCGGAGGGTTTCGCTGCAGGGACATGCGGTACCCCGCACCTCCACCAAAATGTCACGAATGACAAATCATGAGGCGATAATAACCGAAGAAACTAAACATTTAATGGGGCGAACTTGTGCCCAAGTATAAAAATGGAACTGAAGAAAGCAGAGCGTCGCGGGCGTCGAAGTCGGCGTGACAGCAGAGTCGAACGCCGGGGGAAACTGACTCCGCTCGCCTTGCGGAGTCCCTTATTACCCTCGTAGGTTTCTGGATCCTTCGGTGTAGAACGTTCGGTGCGTAGAACATTCGGAACTTGATCAGACGAGAATGTTCTCGAACTTACGAGAAGGCCAAGTTGAAAGAATAAATAAAAGGAGAGTCCGCTGACTGAGAATCGAACCTATACCTTCCGCGCGACATTCAAGCGCGACATTCAAGCGCGGTACCCACTCGGCCACGCACGCGCTTGCTCGTCGAGCGCGTGGCAGTATCCCCATAAAGAAAGCACTCGGACAAGATGGTCTGTTCCTCATTTTAGGTGCCATTAGATGATATAATCATGGTCCCTCAGTTAATTTCCTGCATAAAATATTCTTTCCGTTGTCAGGGGGGAAAGTTTGTTTCTAAGTGTTCAGCATTCCGTATATTCTTCAAATAATCAAATAGGCAACCAGAGTTTTTTATTTCCCCTTTGAGGGCTGTATCTTGGGAATTTAACATTGTTTTAAATGTGATATTAAATGCGATTTAAAATTCTGTGCAAGAGGCACGACCATTTGGGAATTGAAGGATTGTGTGCTTTCGTTCTTTAGTTTTGGACAATTAGAGTTCTACAATTATTTTATAAGTTTTTCTTCTTCTTGACCAGATTTCGCTGCGCCACGGTGGACACATCGGAACCGAAGTGCCTCACTGGTCCCAATCGCTTCGAGACATTAGAGCGTTGCCAGGAGACTTGCCTTTGACAGTCGCCGCATTGAATTAGCTGCAGCAAGACCGGATGCTAATCACCTTTCACTGCTCCGTCATAAATAAGAACAGCACAGGTGGCCGGAGAACAACTACAAAAAATGTGTGCTGTCTGTCATTATAAAAATAGAGTTCTGTTTCCAGTGCATGCAATAACTTTCGTTAGCGCTCAGCCTGAATTGAAGTCGCTGAAGCGTTCATCACAACTGCCGGCTCTTAGACTGTTTTTTTTAATGATGTGATATGTAGCTATCTAGATTATTTTGACTCACGAGGAGTGCTGCCGTGCCGCAAATAAAGACAAAAAGGTGCTGTTAGGTAAATTTTTACGTCTTTTATGCTCTGCTTTATAATGCATGTTCTCTTAAATAAACATTTGATTGATAAATTATTCGACTAATAATGTTTCAGGAAGCGTCAAATATGAAGACTTGATAGTTTTCAATAGGTACACTAAATGCCATTTTGTGGCCTATGGTTTATTGCTCAGGCATCTTTGAACACTAATCGCACATTATGTTTTACAGTCGATTTTATTACGCAAATCTATCCGCATAGAAGCTCAAACATAAAAATAAGACCGCGAGTGTGCCGTCCTTGGCCAATGGCTCGTTACATCGTGTGAAAGAATGACAAAAGAAATGATGGTGAACATAAAACCAAAACCAGAAATATCAAAATGTCGTACAAATGAGTTTCAGTGAGAAAACCTATTTGTTCAGTTGATTGACCACGAGTAATATTTGTCCTGCTGTTGAGAAGACGTTGACATGCATCATCACCTCGCCTGCATCTGAAATCATCATGCGTGCTGCGTCTCTCAGATAACAAGGTGCCATATGCGAGCAGCTGCATTAAATTTGGTGGCAAAGCTAAATATGATTTCACTAGATGACAAAACCACGAATCAGTCACAACGCAGATATGCAAAACGATTCAATTTTATTACTCGATCAAAAAGTGATGAATGTACAAGTTTGGTATCGTGCCGGCTGGCGGACAGTACAAAAGTTATGAAGCTATTCTTGTCCGACAAGACTACTTGAAACACACAAAAAAGAAATGCCCGCGCGCATTGTGTGAACCTCGTGTGTCCCAGAAAACAAAAATGCATGATTCGTCGTTCCCTCTCCTGAAGTTTTATCCAAGCAAAATATGAACATTGGGAACCGCACAGTTCACGGAGCAGTCTAACTAGGGTATAGTGATCTGAATTACTTTCAATTCAGCCTTCTGTTATTTAATACCCTCATCTAGACGACTGGCAAACTATTCATGTTTTGCGCGGTTTAAATTTTGGAAGTGACGAGACACTTTGTGATGTTATGACCATATTAGAAAGTTATTTAGGCGTATATCATCAAAGAAGTCAGATGGTTTTCAGTGGCGACTACCGTGTTCCAGAGAAAGTGTGGCTCTAAGTCAGGTTACGTTTTCGCATATCAAATCTGTAACAGTCAGTTAAACGTCGTGGCTATTTTAGCCCACAGAAAAAGAAACTGTACAGTAATGCCTTTCTTACCTGCATGACAATGGGTGATTAAGGAACAAAGTAGGTACATTTCTGTCTCTACCCGTTATTTAAATGGCAAAAAAAGAAGAGGTACGACTTTTTCGATTGGAAGAAACTGGGCACGTGACATTCTATTATTATACTCTGTGCGTTTGCGACGACAGTTACCGGTATCAAAATGCTTGGTTATTAAAAACCATCGCCGAAACGGGAAGCGACGCGAGGATGAAGCGCTGTCTTGACTTGATGCTTGTGTTCATTTTGATGAAGCGATATCGTTCATAAGCTTTTCTATGTGCTGAGGAGCTCACTGGCAAGACGTGTTGAGGGTGTAACTCACGGACTTGCTGTTTTCTGTTAAAACAGGAATACACATCATCAGTTTTTGTGTAATAGAATGGCATAATATGCAGACATTATCTAACACATGCGGCAGGTCAATTGTGAGCAAATTTTAGTGAAATTGTGAATAACGACATTTGCGGGGTGCTGATACTCTCCGAGTTGACGGTGAGTATAAGATTAATGAACACTGTTTTGAAGTCTTCCTACGTAAACATGCAGTGTAACATATGCTCAGCTTCAAATAGTTCCGACAACCGTTCAGCGAAAAGATTAAAAACTCAGGCGAGCTGGTGAAGAACTTCGATATTACCCGGAGGACTGGAATCATAAAAAAAAAAAAAAAAACAGACAGAACAAGTCTCAAACACAGCTTCTAAAGTCAGTTGCAGGTAAGAAAAAAGTTTTCGAGGGAAAGGAGGGTGGGGGTGGGGAGGAAGGAGACGGAATGCTGGAAATGCTGAAGAGAGGAGGAAGCCTCCTCCTCTCTCCAGCATTTTGTCTGCTTCGTCCTCTCCAGCCGGAAAACTTTTTTTAACCTGTCACTGACTATGGTTTATATGAACGAGAGCTTTTATATGTGCGGCAAACCCCCCCCCCCCCCCCCAAAGAACAAACACCTCCTCTCCACTAGGTTACTGAAAGTTTGACACTCAGGAAGATCCACAATGATTCATGGTGCCCCCCTCCTTTTACACAAAAAAAGCCACCCAGACGACCTCGTTTGAAAGCTGACAAGCCACAAGCTATGACAGGAAACTCCAAGCACAACCCTTTCTCTTCTGGGAAAACCCACAAAGCAAGATTTAATGTTCACGGAGAGAAGTGCCCTTTAGGGCAAAATTCAGCACTTAGACCCCAGCTGTTGCACCTGATGCAGTACTTAGACCTCCTGTCGCCGTATATATAAGCGCTTTCCATGTTAAAATAAACTAGAAGCTGTGTATGAAACTTGTTGTTTTGCCCGTTTTTTTATTGTTCCGTGTCTCCAGTTACTACGGAAGGGGAACCGTTCGAAATTATGACAATATTTTGAAAACTCCCATACAAACTTGGCTCAAACTTTGTCTAAACTTAATCTTGCATAGTCTTTAGTTCTTGCGTGTATGCTTACGAGCTATTTTGGATATAACATGCTAATTATATATGATTCTCATAAATTAGGAAAGCAATACAAAGTACCGAAAACAGGTCAGGGAGCCAAATATCGACATAACTTTAGAAGAAAACATGATCAACATATTCTCTAAGTTTTTGATTAATATAGCTAGTAAATAATTAATAATGTATCTTTGAAAAAAAAAAAAACTTCACTTGAAGATATGATGCGAGTAAGTGTCCCGCCTATATAATGCCCAAATTTAGTAATTTGTGTGGGAAATAAAATATAAAAAATGAAAAATGAAAAATAAAGTAACATTATATTGAATCCTCACCTTGCTCATAGTAGTCGTAAACTTTGACATTGGCAGGTTTGGCGTCCTCAACTTCAACATCGCGGTTAACACGAATGTCGAAGCATTTTTCTGTAGAGGAAATCTGGAACAGTAGAAAAAAAGCCAGTGAGCTTGAACATGAGCTGAAACGCCCACGACAATGAGTAACCGGGCAAAGCACCCCTCGCATGTCTCGTGGGAACGATGTGAACAAGCAGACAGGTCGGCCACATGACTGGCGATCCACAAATCCTATACTCAAAAGATTTGAAATCACTGAGAATCAATGACTAAATAATGTTTGAGCTAGCAATAAAATAAAACAATACAAAACTGGACAAATCTTGCAGCTTCATTTGGATTTATATCAGAGTAATGTGGAAAATTACGTTGCATGGAGAACGTAGCCGACACTCATCTCCTGTAATCCGTTCCTGATATTCCCAGCCGTGTCTTGCTGAGTGTCCCACATCGTCCACCTCTTCTAACGTTTATATTTTTTTTTATTTTTTTACAATATCTTTTGACAACAGGAAAAAAGTCACACCTTCTTTTACATCATGCCAAGCGCCCCTCACACGCTTGCCACAATTTAAGTTAGATTGTTTCGGGAGGCAAATCTGCATTAAAATTCTCCAACTGTGTCGCGGAACTATATGTTTTTCATTTGAGTAGCCACTAGCTATACTCCACCTTACATAGATCAAATAATCTAAAGACGTTAGGGACAACGCATAGACTGAAATTGCAGCATAACAGTACCTTCACAAGTCATGTTGGAATTGGAAGATGTCATTCATTTACCATAAATATGACAAATGACAGCGTTTTATGCTTTTAGCATTACCAAATCGCGCTACTTGATTGTACTTTTGGCTTATTTTTTTCAGTTGCTCTTGAACTGAATGAGAAAAAAAACTATACTGCTTGTTTGCTTCAGTATAATTTCATAACTTACCTCTTCGAAGTACAGGTTCAGTTGGTTCTTTTCAAGTTCGTGCCTTTTCAGCGACACTCCTTCTTTGCGGTACAGCTAGAAATTAAAAATAAAAACCTTATAATCTCTATTTATAATTCAATAGCTCCATGATTTTTATTAGAGTGATTGTATATTACAAGTCATGAAGGGAAAGCTGCTTCAATAGCAACTTTGGCTAGTTTGGGAACATGAAAAACGTACTACGATACTAGCCATTGATATTGAAAACACTGAAAATACATAACATTAACAGAATGACAGGTAAAGCAGATGACTAGATTGAGTAAAAAACGGCATACATGAAGCAAATGAACTCAATCATATTATTACAGTGGCGAAAAATACGTGATAAGCAAATGGGTGTCAATATGATGAGAAATATATGGTCCCATTGCAAATTATAAAGCGATTGAAGGTATGCACACTTTATAATGATGATTTGATAAATATCTAAAGCGCGCAAAAACAAGGCATAAACAATTCGTTTTTGTCACTGAGGCAGTTTTTTTCATCAACCTTTAAGAAGAATATTATTGCATACACCAACTTATGTTCGCAAACAAACCGGTGCACACCCAGCGGTGCCAGTGGCGCCGCTTACGTGCCAGGGGTTGTGGGCATGGATCGGAGTCTCTTCAACCAACAAACCATTGACACGCCATGCTGTCGTTATAAGCTCGAGATCCCGTGAACTTTTTCACGCTGAAAATACTGATTGCACGTCTTCCTAGCGATGTCATTGTACTGCAGAGACCGCAGCAAGCTGAATAAGTCTCGTTAAGCCGCCAAATTTTGCGTAAATGGCGTGGGCTGAGGCGTTTAAAGGGGCGGTGCAACGATATTCAATTGGAATGTTTTTCACTTTACAGGAGCTTACTGTCACTAGTGGGACTCAAGGATACTCGCACGCAACGCCACTGACCAAGAAACTCCTTTGTTGTGCTGTAATTTCGAGGACAAAACCGAGTGTTTTCATTCAATTTCTCCTTCGCAAAACCTGATGACGTAGCTTGGCGGTCGCAGTACCTCCCAGTGACGATATTTGAATGCGGCTCATAGATTGGACCCGAGCATGGCGTGGTCACTCGATTTGGGCTCGTGATAATCGATAGCTCGAGAAGCATTCGGGTAGTGTCCTGTGTCCAATCGCTGCATTGACGACAACAGTGGGCATGGGAGCGCAAGCGTAATGCTGACGCTTAACCAGGACATGCTCGTTTTCGTACAGCTCCCGTTTTTCGTCTTGGGCGGACTCATTCCTGGAACCGTCATCGCTGCCCCGACCAACAACGTCATCGACAGTCCGGGATCACCCTTATCGTCTTCTGGATTGGAGGGCCCGTCAGCTGTTTCATGGAGCGCCTTCTTTGCGGATACAGCGCCACCACCCCTGTCGTCACTCCCACAATACCCTTCGATGGGCCTACAAAAGGAGGTGCCAGAGCGTCGCCGCGCCAGTGGGCAATGGGAGCGCAAGCGTAATGCTGACGCTTAACCAGGACATGCTCGTTTTCGTACAGCTCCCGTTTTTCGTCTTGGTCGGACTCATTCCTGGAACCGTCATCGCTGCCCCGACCAACAACGTCATCGACAGTCCGGGATCACCCTTATCGTCTTCTGGATTGGAGGGCCCGTCAGCTGTTTCATGGAGCGCCTTCTTTGCGGATACAGCGCCACCACCCCTGTCGTCACTCCCACAATACCCTTCGATGGGCCTACAAAAGGAGGTGCCAGAGCGTCGCCGCGCCAGTGGGCAATGGGAGCGCAAGCGTAATGCTGACGCTTAACCAGGACATGCTCGTTTTCGTACAGCTCCCGTTTTTCGTCTTGGTCGGACTCATTCCTGGAACCGTCATCGCTGCCCCGACCAACAACGTCATCGACAGTCCGGGATCACCCTTATCGTCTTCTGGATTGGAGGGCCCGTCAGCTGTTTCATGGAGCGCCTTCTTTGCAGATACAGCGCCACCACCCCTGTCGTCACTCCCACAATACCCTTCGATGGGCCTACAAAAGGAGGTGCCAGAGCGTCGCCGTGCCAGTGGGCAATGGGAGCGCAAGCGTAATGCTGACGCTTAACCAGGACATGCTCGTTTTCGTACAGCTCCCGTTTTTCGTCTTGGTCGGACTCATTCCTGGAACCGTCATCGCTGCCCCGACCAACAACGTCATCGACAGTCCGGGATCACCCTTATCGTCTTCTGGATTGGAGGGCCCGTCAGCTGTTTCATGGAGCGCCTTCTTTGCGGATACAGCGCCACCACCCCTGTCGTCACTCCCACAATACCCTTCGATGGGCCTACAAAAGGAGGTGCCAGAGCGTCGCCGCGCCAGTGGGCATGGGAGCGCAAGCGTAATGCTGACGCTTAACCAGGACATGCTCGTTTTCGTACAGGTCTGTAAACGTTTTCGTACAGGTCTGTAAACGATCGCCCGTCCCAAGTCATCAAGTGAAGCACACCAGCATTCCCTCATCCCTGAAGCAGTTGTGGACTGGAATGACCTCCCGGACGCCATAGTCACCATACCCGACTCCAAGCAATTCCGACTAGCCCCTCAAAACCACTTGTACTGACCCACTCCCCTCTATAACGCCCCCGAGGCATTGAGGGTATGTATAAATAAATAAATAAATAAACAGCCGAACCATAACAATGTCTGGAACTCAGCGCGTGTCCTGCGCCTTGCCAACCCCAGCCCATGGCTAAGATGTACATTGGCGGCATATAATCGGCTCCAGATCACGTGGCCGCTTGTTCTGGCTGCGAGTTGAGGGGGTGAACTCTGCTTGTTTTTCTTTATTTTTTTCTGCGACTTCGATTGCGTGTGGTTAAAAACGAAAGGGTATTTCACAGGTCATTAACGTCGGGGATCCGTTCTAAGCGGTATTTCCGCGAAATACAAAAATCGTCGCATCGCCCCTTTAATCTGTGTGGATGCGACAATATGAGTCGGAAAGCCTGATTCTCATTGTGCGATTCTGGTTGAGATATTAAAGTGCGACGCCACTCGTAGTTAAAAAAAATAATGAAAATAAGTGTGGACAAAATGTGGCGCTCGACGTCGAAACTATACGTTGGAAGCCGAATTTCACCACGTAAGTGAGGCATAACAAGAAATCGATTACCATCCGATACAGTCCGTCAACGTCACATTGTATCTACAGTTCACACCGATCCGATTAACTTCAGATACACTTGAAGTTTACAAGTTTGGCTGATCCAGAATCTATTCGTATCAAAATTACAATCTGGACGGCACCAACGTATTAGTCGACCGACCCTGGACGCTAAACATGAGGATGCTATCAACGTAATCTGAGTGGTCCAGACGTCTCTACGGTTTTCCATCATTCTCGTAAAATAAAAGAAAACGTATACAAGAACTATTTGTGACTTCAACCTAGCAAAGTGATCATCCACAAACATTAGCGATCTGATGGCGTCAAGTGTCTTTTCTGCGGCGTCGATCCATTTTGTCGGACTGATCGGGCAATAGGAAAACAGATGAAAGCTGCTCTTGACACGATTCCCAGCTTTTTGGATGCTGCCCTTTCCGACGCAAGTCCGCGGTATTTTGATAGAAATGAAGTCTTCTATTGGTTGCTACCACTAACAACGTAGCAATGCCTAGTCCGAACTGCCTTTTTTTTGGGTCACACTAGAGAACGGGAGTTCACCGAAGAGCCACCCGCTCAGAGTGCCGCACGGGATTTGAGTTCGTCTGTAACAACAGATAATAATTGCTCAGTACTCACAGAATACACATGATCCTCGTCCACCGTGAACCCAGAGACCAACTTCAATTCAACAACAGCCATGTTTGATGGCTGTTCACCATCGAACCTGAAGAAAGCAGAACATGTTGAATCAAGAGCTTGAATCCACTTTGTTACTGCAAGGCGAAAATGCGGGTTGTTTTTTCGCTGTAGGACACAACATTAGCAGAACAAGCCCAAGCCCATTTAACTCATGATAATGACCTACACTAAGATGGCAAATGTGCGTTCTTCGGCTAATGGACATCGTTCTCGGTGACGCGAAGTACAAGTCTGCGATGGCCGAGATGGATGACGTCGTTGTTTTTTCCCAGTCTTTTGAGGAGATCCTCTAACCCACGGAACCACATACACATCTAACACGGAATCTGCACACACCAGTAACACCTCTGAAACACGGAACCACTAAGTTTCTGTGTTTTCGGGGTTTATTTCTTGTGAATTTCGAGGATGTTTTTTAGTGTTTGTTTTTTCCCACGCTCTCAATATTTTTGTGTTTTTTTTTTTTTTGGGGGGGGTGGGGGGAGGGGGGGTTGGGCAAGTTATTCGGGTTTATTTGGGCTGCTGTTGAGGAGAACAGGATACGGAAGTGAGAGTCTCCAACTCCGGAGAAAAGAAATGTGACCCAAATAATTATAAAACTTCCCTGTACCGATAACGTACGTGATTCCGAAGAAAGGATCGGCCTCGCCGGCGTTCGCCGGAGTTGTGTCTCCGGTAAAGACAAAATAAGGTTGTGTATACTTCTATAATTCCCACGAGGATAGTGTTTTTCTTATCCAAGGACAGCCGAATTTGAGGTTTGTTTTTCCAGATTTTTATAAACCGGCTGGAGGATTAATATTGGGTGTTCAGTGGTTTTTACTGAAAACACGGAACCATAGTAATAACTAGAGTCATAATGTTTAGTAATAATTAAAAAAACGAGCCTGTTCGTGAATAGATACGAATACTTCAAAGGTTGAAAGTCCAGTTTCCGCCCAAGTGCACGATGTTTTATCCTTTAAATTTTTCGTAAAGTTTAGTTGGAAGGGGTTAAACAGAATGCAATAAAACAGCAGAAAACGCTACAAAAGGAAGTGACAAAAGGGGCCAAACAGAGCGCTGACTGGCGAGTATGATTTTTACTGATAGGCAAGGAGAAATATCCTAATTTTAATATTACCAAAATGTTGGGGAAATAAACAAAGAAAAAAAGTGAAAGCCGTTTATAAATCCCTGTAACGCCGAATTGGAGCGCAGCTCTTGAGGAGGAGGAGTGAAGGGTACTGAGGGGAGGGTAGACCCCTCCCCCTTCTCCTCCTCCTCCCCTCATTCTTTAATATGCTCCGGGGGGGGTGTCACGTGACTTCGGGGAGGGGGTCACGTGACCTCGGGGAGGCGTGACCTGGGGGTGACCTCAAGGCCACGTGACCCCAAAGGTGACCCCCACGTGACCTTGGGGTCACGTGACCTGGAGGGGTCACGTGACCTCGGGGGGGTCACGTGACCTCAGAGGGGTCACGTGACCTCAAAGGGGTCACGTGACCTGGGGGTCACGTGGGGTCACGTGACCTTGAGATGACCTTGGAAGGGGTCACGTGACCTTGGGGAGGCGACCACGTGACCTCGGGGGTCACGTGACCTCAGAGGGGTCACGTGACTTGGGGGTCACGTGACCTTCAAAGGGTCACGTGGGGTCATCTTGGGGTCACGTGACCTTGAGATGACCTTGGAAGGGGTCACGTGACCTTCAGGGGGTCACGTGGGGTCACGTGACCTTGAGATGATCTTGGGAGGGGTCACGTGACCTTGGGGGTCACGTGACCTTGGGATGACCTTGGTTACGCCGACGCCGACGCCGACGCCGACGCCGACGGCGACGCCAACGCCGACGGCGACGCCGCTCAAGCCGGGAACGAGCCCCTAAGAGCTGCGCTCTAAAAATAACACCTGAGGTGATTGACGGATTCCAGATATACAGTGGTAGAAAAAACTGCATTAGTGCAGCGTCAGTGGAGTTGTCTAGTAAGGAGCTGAAATTCCTGAAACTGACAATGATGGTCAAGTACGTGCCCTAATGAGTAGACATTACAGGTAGAAAATGTGCGTGTGAACATGGGGAACAATGTGTGTTTTCGTTCTTCTTGCCTATCAGTTGCGAGTCAGCGCTCTGTCCTGTCCGCTTTGTCGCTTCCTTTTGCAACCTTTTTCGCTGTTTTAATTCATTATCTTTAGCTGAAGCGATAACTAATAATATATTTACAAATTAATTCGAAAATATTTTAACATAGCGTGAGCAAAGAAAAATAGAAAATTTCTTGTTATTCGTTCCTCCCAAGATAAAATCTACCAAAATTAAAAAAAAAAAAAACTGTTTCATGTAAAACAATGAAAAAAAAAACCAAACGAATTTCAAGTGAACCAAGTTCTAAAAAAGAACAACTTTGAGTCGCCTCAAATATTAATAAAGATATCGACCACAAACGCTAAATGTTCGAAAACAGGAAACAAAAATAAGCTCGATGGCGCTGGGGGCAGCGCATATAACGTTGTTCTCCATGATTTCCAGAGTGGTTGGCTACGCAGCAGCCATTTAGCTCTAGGCAACTCAGTATTTAAGAGAGACCTGTCTCAAAACTTAACTTACCGCAAGCAAACCTTCACATCTGCAGTATTGCACTTGTTGGGCTCCTGCGTAGGCGTCACCGTCAGCTCAAATCCTTCGCTTTTGGGAGGCGTGTGGACATTGTATTTCAAAGTCGTCTAAAAAGAGACAAAAACAATCAGAATACATCGCCTGGATTTTCGAAGACTTCTCAGCGACCGTTTTGCAGTGATTTACAATATGCTCATTATTCCGATCATGAACTCAAATTTGTTACAGAAAGAATAAACAAAAAGGACGGACATATTTCGCGCAGTACACACAGTACAGGAAAGATGTCCGTCCTGGTCCTTCCTTTTTGTTTATTCTTTCTGTAACAAGTTATTAAAACCAAGGTGCTCACGTTCAACTATGTAACTCTAATTTGTTCATACATATTTGATTCATATTCAAAACCTGCCGCAAGCTAACTGCGGAGTGCATATAATTTGACGATATCGTATTACAGCTGCAGAACTCTTGAAGCATTTTATTCTTACCAAACAAGAAATGCACCCACAGTTATGAAGACCAGGGGCCCCTAGAGAGTATTCTGCGTGATTGGTAAGGGTTTTCTTTGCCCAACAATAAGTATAGCAGCTTTTGAAAATTTTAAAGTGAATCAATACAAAATAGTTTTAAAACATTTAGTCTAGTAGCTCGAGCAGAAGTATTCATAATATTTATTGGGAATGAAGATGAATTTAGTTTCGCAGCATATAAAATGGTGCCACGACAAAACAGCACGCGACTAAACAGCATGTCACGAAAGATCACAGCCATATAAGAGCACGGACGTAAATGCGAGTTGTTTTTTCGCTGTAGGACACAATATTAGCAGAACAAGCCCAAGTGAAGTATTTTCTGTTAATTTGTTCAGCAGAACATCTGTATTGTGGTGATGTTTTATTATCTAAATATATGACTTTATTTTATTACCTGTGTGGTTATATTTGATTACCCAGTTATTGCTTTTCGCGCATGTTTAGTAATGTAAAGCTTTTCCACCGCAAGCCAGTGAGGCTACATTTCTTGCCGTTTTTTTAATGACTGATTGATGGTTAATCCTTTAAAGGGGTACTCCAGCGATTTTTTGTAGCTTCTTCAACTAACTACGTTTTCGGAATTACCAGTCTTTGCCCTTTCCTGTAAAGATCGGTAATTTACCATCATAAAATTCAGAATACTTATTGTGAAATAAGCAAGGGGAAATGGTCTCAAAACCAAGATTCAAAAATACCATTGGTTTTTAGTGCCGTGACGTCATTGGCAGACAGGCTTGCAGGTCGAGCGGGCATTCTGAACATTTACTGTGCCAAGGTTTTTGTTTCGTGCTGTTGCCCGGGTGATACCTTCCAAATCAAACATCTTTGTAACCATGCAATTGCTTGTTATCAGTTGGGAGCAAAAGGTCTGTTCGATTCGGCTAGATGGCTCTGAACTAGTTCTGTCCGAGTTAAGAGGAGTGCAGAAATCGTGCAAATGATTCGCAGAACCAGAGCAGCAACCACGCTTGGACTGGCGCTGTGATCGACTTCCGGAGGTGAAGGACCGGAAGTGGAAGGGCGTCGTCTGCGTCTGTTGGCTCTTGTTTCTCCACGCCACGTCGTGTGCCATTCATATGACCATTCGAGTTTCCTTAGTTTTAAAGTATATAAACCAAATATTTTCTGTGAATGTTTCTCTATTAGAGTGCGCTAAAAACGTTTTCAGCACGAAACGCTTTTCTGTTTGCATTTGTAACGGTTACCGTTCCCTGACTATCGTTGTAGGAACCTCTGGTAGTCGTGGATGGTTACGTTCAAGCAAACGTTTATTTACATTATCTACAAGCTGCAAGCGATGCGATCTGACGTGTCGTTCCCAACCGTTCCAAACACGAGCCTCGTCTCGCGCCCAGGCCACGCGCTCCCCCGGCCGCCAGCTCCTTGCCACGCGCTCCCTTTTAAGACGTCTCTGGCCGATTTTCTCCTCGTCTTCGATGTCCTCGTGCCAGTGATATGGCTTATTACGAACCACTTAAACGCTCCAACACACTCCCCACCGAATGGATGGAAGTCCATTCTAAACTTCCATTAACTCCAACGGATACACAAGCTGCACTGGCCTTCGCAATATGGTGCCGCGATGCACTCGGATCTCACACGACCGGATCCGAGAGTCTCGGCCGGGGAACACTCTTTCTACTCGCCCGAGCTTCCATAGCAGGCGTGGAAGCGGCTCTTTTAACAGAACAATTTGACCCTCTCTGATGGGCGCAGACTGCCTGTTCTGAGTGGCGTACGCTGATCTGAGTTCTCGAAGATACTCTTCCCTCCATGTTCCCCAAAATCGGTTAAGCAGTTGTTTTCGCTGCCGCCAGAGCACGCGAAGCTCCTCCGGTGTGGAAGCGAGCGTGTCCCCACCCGTCGGCGGAAGTGTCGTCAGCCGCCTTCCAACTAGGAAACTGGCCGGCGTCAGCGGGGTCCCCTCTCCGACCGCGTCGTGCACAAACGTTAATGGCCGCGAATTCAACACGGCCTCTACCTCAATCAGAACGGTGGTCAATTCCTCTGTGTCCAGACAGTTCCTTCCGATAACCTTTCTTAAGGACACCTTTACCGAGCGCACAAGCCTCTCGTAAAATCCTCCCCACCATGGGGCTCTCTCGACAATAAACCTCCACTGGATACCCGCGTTCGCAAAGTGGTTGACTACGTCTGGGTGGCGCAACGTCTTCCACAGTTCCGTGAGTTCCTTCGACGCTCGTTTGAAGGTCAACGCATTGTCGGAATAAATTACGCGGCACAGCCCTCGGCGCGACACAAATTGACGGAAGGCAAAGAGAAAGCTCCGGGTCGACAGGTCTGGAACCAACTCCAGGTGCACAGCCCGCGTGACTGCACACGTGAACAGCACCACGTAGGACTTGCATGTGAGGTCCTTGCCCTTGACGTAGAGGGGGCCCTCAAAGTCCGTGCCGACTACCTCGAAAGGGTCCGCTCGTGTTGTCCGGGCATCCGGCAGGGGTCCCGTGGGGGCACTCGCGGGGGTCGCGCTAAAGCGCTGACAGGTCACGCAGGCACGCAATACTTTCTTCACCAGCTCTCGGCCCCGCAGAATCCAATACTGGTTACGGAGCTGCACGAGAGTATCTCTGACTCCCGCGTGCAGCAGCTGTCGGTGCGCGTCGATTGCCAGCAAAGTTGAATATCGATGCTGCTTGGGCAGGACGATCGGGTTTCGTTCGTCATACGTCATGTTGACAGACTGGAGGCGACTTCGAATACGAAGTACACCTTGCTGATCGATGAAAGTGGCGAAGTCTTGAAGGGGAGAACCCGGCGGGGTCTTCGTAGAGTTGGTCGCGCAGTGAAGCTCGGTAGCGAACGCCGAGCGCTGCGCCTCCTTTATCCAGTGAGTTCGCGCTGCCTCGATCTCCTCGGCTGTCAGTGGTCCCGTTCGTCTTTCAGTTGACCTGACGTTGTGGAGAAATCGAAAAATCCAAGCCGTTGTTCTGATGATCCTTGAAGCAGAGCTCAATCGCGAGATATCGATCAACTCTGGAATGGGCGTTACTGTGACTTCAAACGCTTCTGCTCTCGATCCTCTCTCCTCGAGGGCGTCTCGAGGGAGTTCTCCGCACCTTTCCTTGGGCCATTCTGTCGCTGGCAGTGGCAACCAACTCGGCCCCGACCACCACAGTGAACTGGAGACCAACTGGAATGCGGTCAGACCTCGGGTCATGAGGTCAGCGGGATTTTCTTTTCCCGGGCAGTGGTGCTACGTCGCGCCTTCACAATTGCTCTGGATCTCTTGCACTCGATTCTTGACGAACAGCTTCCATCGGGAGGCCTCTCCCCTGATCCAGTAAAGCGTGATCATTGAATCCGTCCAGAAGTGAACGTCCTTCACCTCAAGCTCAAGGCAGGTTTGAACGTATTTGGACAGCCTTGAGGCGATCAAGCTGGCCATCAGTTCCAATCTCGCCAGTGTGACAGTCTTGAGGGGCGCAACTCGGCCTTTTGCGAGCAATAACGTCGTCGTCGTCGCTCCTGTGTCGTCGGTAGTGCGAAGGTAGACCATGGCTCCGTAGGCAGCGGTGCTGGCGTCGGCGAAGATATGCAATGATCGGTGGGTCACCTTGCCTTGCAATCCGTCGTCGCAAAACCTTGGGATCTTGACCCTTTCTAGCTCGACAAGTTCGCTGCACCACCCGGTCCACTCGTCTTGCAGGTGATCTGGTAGCACATCGTCCCAGTCCAGGTTTAGTTTCCAGATTTCCTGGAACAAGATCTTGGCTCTCACGACGAAGGGTGCCAAGAATCCCAGAGGGTCGTAAAGGCGAGCTGTCGTTTGCAGCACGAAGCGCTTCGTATTTTCTTGGTGGCGAGCAGTCTCCATCACGTGCTCCGGTGAAAACATGAGACTGTCCTCTTTGGGTTCCCAAGTCACTCCAAGCACCTTGAGCACGTTCGCGACTTGTCCGAGTGGTTTTTGGCCTGCGCCGTCCTCCTCGAACACCTCCGCTAGTGATGCGCTATTTGAACCCCACTTGTGGAGTCTCATACCGGCCTGCCTAAACACCTCGTTCGCCTCGGCGTACAACGTCTTAGCCTCGTCTTCGTTGCTCGCTCCGGTCAACAGGTCATCAACATATACGGACTTGCTTAATTGTTCGGCCGCTGTCGGGTGTGTGTTCTCCATCGCCGCGAAATGGTGCCGCAGGGTAGCCGCCAAAAGGAACGGGCTCGACGTTGCACCGAAAGTCACCCTCGTCATTCGCCAGGTCTCTACCTCTGGTACCGGTTGATTTTGGATCGGCGGTTCCTTGTACCAGAGGAACCGCAGTGCGTCACGATCCTCAGCCTTGACTCCGATCTGCAGGAAAGCCTTCTCCACATCCGCCACTAACGCTACTCGGTGCGTCTTAAACCTCAGAAGTAGGGCGACGAGATCTAAATTCATGTTCGGTCCACTCTCCAAGTTTTCGTTCAGGGATTTACAGTTTGCGCCGTGAGAGGAAGCGTCAAACACAATCCTAAGTTTGGTGGTGCTGCTGTTCTCGCGGAGAACAGCCTGGTGGGGCATGTAATACACCCTTACTGCACCTTCGTTCTGTGTTTCTTCATCGACCCTC